TAGTTATTAACCTTTTTACCACATCCAAAATGATGACTATTGAGCAACGCACTTTCGGGGATCTCGAGCACTTCCCTTGTAAGAGATGATGATAGAACGATAAGTTGTGAGTCTTTCCTTTGAACATGCATTTACGGCAAAGACGGTTCAAGTTGATGAGGAAGGATGAAGAATGAGTAAAATATGAAGAATGATGGTTAACTTGTTTACTCAATGATAACTGTTAGCATCTTAAAGGGAAACGAAAAAGAAGAAAAAGAAAAAAGAAAAGTTCATGTTGATAATGTTTATATCGTTTGCAACTTTTCTGACTTTTTTCCTTCTTTTTATTCTTTTTGGCATCACAAAGTTTTCGTACAACAAGAGGAAATATTGAAGCAAAGAAAAGATGAAAAGATGAAAAGTAACAAATCAATAGTACTAACCATATTTACCCCAAGACGACTCAACATCATCATCTTCTGATTTTGCAGTTGTTCTTGTTTTTACTATTGTTGATGATTCTGTTGATGTTGGTGATGTTGTTGCCTCGGTTGCTAGTTCAGTCTCATCAACAGTGTTGCTTGGTAAAGTTGGTGCAACTTTTTGATCCAAAGGCAAAGAGTTTGTCAATGAAGATGAAGATAATGATGAGTTGAGTTGATGAGATAAAAACAGTGATCCAGTGGCTCCATGTGAGGCTTGTAAAAGGATGAACAAGAGAACAACAATCAAATCAATTCTTATTGAAGTCCATTGAGGCACATCTTTTTGTGAAGACATTTTCGGCTCTTTTTTCCCTTGTAATGGTTCTTTACTTTTTTTTGTTAACTTTAATAATCTTTTAAAGTTCACTTTAAAACAATAATGATACTAATGAAAAACCAGAGCAACACTGAAATGGTCAATTTGTGAGGCAAGAAGAGCAAAAGAGATTCAATAACAGTCTTTTGATACTAATAATGATAGCGGTCAATAAAGTGAAATGAAAACTTTTCTTTTCATGGATTTTGGGTTCGATCAAATATTTACAGTCGAAACAATGAAATGATTGTTAACATTGTTTTAAAAAACACTTTTGACCTTTTCATAGTTTGTAAAAGTGCACAAGATTATTCTGATCGGTTTAATGATGATGATGATGAGATCAAATGAAACCGGAAAAGTGAATCAAATAAATTTTGATTAAAATTTATCATTTCGCCATTTAGGTGACGTTGAAGATGCTTGACCAGTTTATCTCATCTAGGGACATCTTTCTATCCCTTGTGAAACAGGTCATAGACTTGATGGTAACTGGTTTAACATTGGGAAAACTGTCATTGGACTCGAATTTGTCTCATTATCTGATTATTTTCAACATTTTTCTTTATTTTTTTCTTCTTCTTCTTCTTCATTTTATTTATTACAATAATTATCATCTCATGGTATGGAAACCAGTTTATCTTTTAGTTTACTCTTTGCCACTTTGTCTTTCCTCTTCAACCAAATTCTGATGCGATTTTATCAATGAAACTTTTCCTCTTCATTTGTATTGATTAAAACTTGCCTCAATTGTTTCGACAATTTTATCTTTTCATGGAAATGCTGGCAAAATTGAAACTTTAGTCTCTATCTGTTTGCTCATGAAAAGCAAAATTTTCGCATATTTTTAAATTCATGACATTGTCTTGATTGATAAGCTGAGTGAACTGTTTTTCCTGTTCACCAAACAATTCTCTTCTTTAGATTATGATGATGATGATGCTTGTTCTTGTCGCCATTTGGTGCTAGATTGTTAATGCTTTTTTTTCTGTTGCTTCTCATGTTGAATAAACTTATCAGTTTCAGTGGCAAAAAAGAGCAAAATTCAAGGGAAAAAAACTATTACCGGAAGATGTGTTGCTAGATTTGTTGGATTCAAGAGTTGATTCTTGACTATTCATTACATCATTATAACTTTGTACACTTGATTAAAAACATTCAATCAATTGTTTGCTCCACCATCTTTTTGCTTAGGCGACAAATTTATACATTAATTAGCATAGAGGAACAATTTTTCGATTCAAAGTAAAAGTAATTAATGAAATCAGTGAATCAATGGGAACAATGGATTGACACTGTAGGATGAACAAAACGTCTACCAAATGAAGGTGAAAAGAGTCTTCTTTCTTTCCTTTCTTTTTTTCCCTCAAACGAAGAGAAAAAAAACAAGGAATGATTTAATGAGACATATTTGTTGGACTCTTAATCTTGACAAAATCATTACATGTGACAAAGCGTATTGATAGGTGGTGAGCTGTGCAACGTGATGCAGACTGTTAGACTCTCTTAGGTTGACAAATGAAACTTCTTGGGCTTGAAGTTTACAAGCTTCTCAGTTGAGCAAGTGCACGAAGGTCGACCCCATCAGGCTATTGAAGGTGATGCAGAGAAGGTCGACCTTTAGGTTGGGAAAAGTGACTTGGTTGATAGTCAAATCTATCATACGGAAATCTTTGTTTGCATGTTTCAAGAAAAGCTCACTCATCAGTCAACTAAACAGGTAATAAGTAGATTTTGTTGGATCAGACTATACTCTTAAGATGAAAATACCCTTTATTCAATTCTCGACAATTTTTCACGAAAAATTGATCAGAAAATAATTCCTTTTGAAATGAGAGCAAATAACACAATTGGTTTGTCTCTTTACATCAACTGGTTCAATTGATTTGATCAAAGGTTTCGTTTATAATACTTTTTTTTGTAAACTTGTCATTTAAAGTTTACAACCAGGAGAGGGCAAAAAAATGGAAAACAGTTGACTTGAGAATAGAAAAATTTAAAAATTTTTTCTCATTCCTTACAGTTCAATATATCATGTCACACTTCATGTTTACAGTTGCTTCATTTCAAGTTTCCAGTTATCAGTTACATGTTTATCAAAAATCAACATGAAGTGTATCGAGTAGGACAAAAAAACAATGCAATGTCAAAATTTAAGACTGGAACATTAAAAGAGTTGGAAAAAGAGTTGAAACTCTTAAGGTGAAAACAAGAGTAAACAAAAAATGAACTTGAATAATGTTGACAAAAATGATGGGGAAAAAGTAGAAATGCGTTTGTTGAGATAAAAGAAGATACATTTTCTTCGATAAATTTCATGTTAAGGCCATGTTAAACAGCATAATCATAGCTTTAAATTTTCTCTTGTATTCCCACTCTTCATCATCAAGTTTACTTGCGATGAAGAACAAAGTTGTGTACAGTTCTGAAACGTTCATGAAGAGACACAAAGTATAGGTTATTTTACAGAAAGGAATAGAACATGATAGTGAAAAAAAAGAAATGAATTTCAAGTTACTTTTTCTCTTTCCTATCCTTTCACAAATGTACCAAGATTGAGAGAGAAATGATGATGATGATGATGAGAAAAATTTAAGTCACCGAAGCTTGAATGATATGAAAAGAATTGAGAAAACATGGAAAGCTCAGGAAAACGATGATGAGAAAAAAAGTAGAAAAAGATAAAGATGAAGATGAAGAAGAGTAAAAAATGTTATCCAATGGAGCATATCTTCGTTTCCCTCGAAATGTCCTTTTCCATCGACTACTGTTTTACCTTTTCTTTATCCTCTCAATTTCTCAATCTATTTCTTTATTTTTCTCCTTCTTCCTTTTCCATTCTCATTCCCTGTTTGGCTTTATCTTTACTTCTCACTTTACGTTGAAAATCATTACCAGCATTTAAAATGTTCAAATATACTTGGTGACTGAATAATATTGATAACTTTAGCTTGAAACAACAGTCTTATTCTTTACAGCTATCAACATTTTGGAAAACTCTTTTTCCTCTCTTCTACTTTATACTCATCAATTGTGTCTAGATGTGAATCAGTAAACGATCAGTTAAGCAATAAACACAAAAAATCTTTACCAATTTTTCTTTTCTCTTTTTCAACCATTTTCCATGAGCACTCATGTGTTTAAACAACTGCAACTTATGTTCCAACACATATGTCTTGAAACTTTACCTTTATCAGTAGCACCTATTCTGATGGTTGATTTGGCGCAAAGTTCATGAAAAAACAAACTCTAAATGCTCATCAAAATAATTATTGGAAGCGTTTTCAGAAAGTGAAAGCCGCTCAAGACTGAACTTGCAATATTGAGAGAAAAAATTGGACATCAATTTGAGTTGGCGATTCCCTGATGAAGATAAAATATAATGCCAATCGCTGTTGTTTTGATAGGAAAATGTAATTATAATGAAAGCATCAAAATGATAATAGATGAAGCGAATTCGCAACTTTATTAAATACAAGTTCATGTTGTTTGGTTGAGCACAGTTGGAGACTGATGTTAATGCCAGTTTGCAAAGTTTAAGAAACATTTTTTTTCTTGTGATTTAATTTTTTCTCTCTCGTCTATTGCATTGATGATCATGATGATGACGGTAATGTTGATGATTAAGAAAAGAGTAAAGAAAGAAAAAAGTGTTCATCTGGCCAAGCAAGGAACCACAATCTTGCAGAAAAAAAACCTTTTCTGTCAACATTAATATTAACCCACCTTTCACCTAAAAATAATATTACATTATTATCCAGAAAGCCAACCCAAATCAGGTTATACACTGAAAGAAGAGGGAGAGAGGGAAAAAACATGATAAATTGTTTCTCATGTAAACAATCGATATTGATGAGGAGGTAAAAACAAGAAGAGGAGGAAAAGGAAGAAAATGAAAGGCAAAAAGTTTTTCATTTTTATCATGAACAAAGCTGTGTTTCTTGTGACAGGTACAAGTGAAAGACGTTTTCATCTTTTCACAGATTTTGCCTTCTCTTTATATTCACGTTTGTTGAGCAAAAAAGTGCAAAATAATTTGCAATAATCGTAACTTTGAATGGAAATTGAAATGAACATTGACTTTTGACGACATTGAACATTCCATTTTTGTTCACTCTAAATAACCAATAATTGCTTTTATAGTCGATTGTATTGGTTACATTTTATCATTAAATTTGAATTTGCATTTGTTTCAAATTGTTTTCTTGCCGATCAAATATTGCTGTCAAAAAGGCAATAATACATGAAAAGTTTCGAATCATTTGTTTTCAATTTTTCTTTTCCTTCTTTCAGTTGCTTTTCCTCTTGTACATGTTATTGCATTTGCAAATTGATACATGCTATTCAAACTATTTCATCTAGAGTTTTGCATAATTCGTGATGAGATTCATTTAAAGGTAAACACACAAATGTTATTGTTATTGATCAACTTTAATCTCAACTGTTGTTGGAAACTTTTCGGATGAAAATGTTTGGTTGAGAAATAAGATGAATTACTTGTGAATATGATGGGTTGAGTGATTGATTTCTCATCTTGCATGTTGAATGAATATTCTGATCACAAGATTTTCTGTCAATGTTCGACTTGTCAATAAAGACTCATTCAGTATGGTTAGGTAATGACTGTTAATGAATGCTTAATTTTGGTTAATTTTATTGATTCTTGTGGCTTTGGAATGCAAGTTTATTTATTAATAAATAAACATATTTATGTAGTAGAGAAAGGTTTTAAGTGATTTTAGAAAATTGAAAGTTTTAGGAAAACTTGACTGGGTTGAATTGGTTCAGCTGGTACGAAATGCATACAGATGAATTGCATTATTCATTTCATCTTGCTGGAAAAGCTGTTGATTAAAGATCAAGGGTTGCTGAAAAGTGTTTGTGATGTTTCCGTTTCCATTTTGAAACGAGCTTAAACAAAAGCATTCACTTTATTGTTGCAATGCATTAGGATAGTGGAACAAAATCATCTGAAAAAGCAACAATTCAGTGCTCTTAACAGTATTTAAAGTTTTATATCAACATTATTGTGGAAAATGTGCAAAAAATTCTGTACAATTTTACTCATATTGTCTCTTTTGGCCTGTCGCATCACTGGTGTAACACCTCATTCTCATGTGAAAACCACATATTGTGCAGTTAATGGATTGGCCACTGAAAAATCGGGACGTTGCTTGTGAATATAACCCTTCTAAATTGTTGTATTCACTAAACTGCAATCTTTGTGTAAAAAAAACTTTTCTGCTTCGATCAAATGCGAAACTTATGGTTCAGAATTGATTGTTGGTTAAAGAATGGCTCTTAATTGTGCTAAGTGTGGACATAATTAGAGCTTGGACGCC